AATGGTAGGTCAACCAGTTCTTTTTAGTTCAGTGACTCCTTGAATTCTTTCCATCTTCTTTTGAGCCTTTCTGCATGGTTCATATTTTGCCCATAGAGTCTTTCAATATTTCCACTTGAGCCTTGACATTTTCTTCAGTTTGTTCAGTTGAAGATATGCTGAGCATGTTCTTCATTTGGGGGTTTCTAATTCTAGGTCTTTGCACGTTTCATTATACTATGTGGCTTTGTCTTCTCGGGCTTCTCTCTGAAATTTCCTGGCTCGCTCTTTGACGTCATCATTTCTTCCACGTGCCTTAGCTCCTCTATGATTATCAGTAGAGTGAGAGCCTCTTCTCACACCCATTTTGATCTGTTGTTTCTTTTCTGTCTTTTCGATGGCCTTTGACTTTCTTCATGGTCTTGATGTCCTCCCACAGCTCAGCAGGTCTTCGGCCATTCGTGTTTAATGCCTCAACTCTGTTCTTGAGCTGTTCTTGAAATGCAGGTGGGGTAGACTCGGGTCGCACTTTCACTCTGGTGGCCTTGCTTTCATTTTCTTCAGCCTCAACCTGAACTTACGTAGGAGCAATTGATGGCCTGTTCCACAGTCAGCCCCTGGCGATCATCTCTCCCCACAGATGTAGTCCCTTTGATTTCTGATTATTCCATCTGGAGAATTTTGCTATGAACAAGTCGCCGATCTTGCAAAATTCTATCACGGGCTCTGCAGCTTGGTTTCTTTCACCAAGACCATATTTTCTAGCTACCATGCCTTCCTCTTTGTTTCCAACTTTTGCATTTCAGTCACCAACAACTATTAATGCATCTTGATTACATGTTTGATCAATTTCCAGCTGATGACCTTGGTAGAATTCTTCAATTTCTGCACCACTAGGTGTTTTAGTTCTGGGTAGACTAGAGAAACAAATTCAAAGACACTCATGTGTATAAGAGAGAGTTTTATATAAAGGGTAATTGTACATTAGGAAAGCATCCCAACCTAGTCCAGTCCAAGTCTGATATTAGCCCATATGCC